TCATTTTTTTTTGACAAAAATTAAGTGATGAAAGCCAAATTCGAACTCAAGACCTTGCGATAAACATGAGTTTTTTGGATGGATGTTAATCGAAAATAATATATATAATATCAAAAATATGTTATTTCCAAATTCAAAATGATAAATATGAACAACTCTTTTCTCTCCCAACCGATTACATAATTTTGTTGAGTTGATGATAAGTGAAAGGAGAATTTTAGATATATTAAAATTGATCGAAATGTATTAAAATCACTTTTAGGGATCATGGCACATTATATATATATATATATATATATATATATATATATATATATATATATATATATATATATATATATATATATATATATATATATATGTCAAACCAAGTATAATTTTTCTATTTATGTCTCATCAAGTAGTTGTTTTCTATAGTTTTTTTTTTCTCAATTGATTGGCTTTTATTGGAAATATTCAAAACGAGAATAAAAATGAAGAAAGATTGTCTAATGTAATGTGAATATACCTAGAGAAAATTCATACATATTGTGGTTATATGGGATCAATCAATTAAAGATAGTTTTCATAAAGCATGTTATTAATAATAAGTGTAGCATATTTATCAGCCAAAGCGTAGAAGTATAATAAAATGCTCATTAATTATGATACAAAAGTAATACTAATTATTATCATGATGAAATCATGATCTTTTACAGAATGTCTTAGCCATTAGGATATCTCTTTGGAGACAATCAACCATGGAGGATACCTCACATCATTACCTTCTGTTCTTTCCTCTCTCAAGCATCATATGGCCTTTCTCGGATTGCAGATTCTGAGAGAAAGTTGTGTTGGGTTAAGGCCTTTACATCCAACAAAGAACATGGAATATGACCTTCGACAGAGATGGAACTTTGAAGAGGGTCATTTCCTATTTCCCTATATATATCTAGAACGGGAGTACCCATTGATCTTTGGAAGATTTACCCATAGAAACCAAGTTAGAGTCAATGCAACTTACATAGATCAAAAGAAGAAAGAGATAGTAATAATGATAAAGGGGAAAATGGCCTATTGTGTGCTTTGTATCCTTCCAGTCATTATCACATTCTCAAGAATGTAGTGTTCATTCATAAGGAAAACATCAGAATTAGAAGATGCCAGCCAGTCTGCAGCAGCACTGATTGATCAGAGAAGTCATCCTATCATGTGTCACCTGCATGCAGATCTGGTCATGTTCCTGTCACTGGGTTTCTACATGTTAATTCACCTCATTCTGCTTGTTACTTGCTACTTCTATATTCTGGTTGTGTCAGAACAGATAATATATGCTTCCAAGCTTTTGATGCAGTGTTTCTTACAGTCTTGGGGTGTCAATCAGCTGACTCAGTCAGGCTTGATAAAGCCTAATCCAAACATGATCTTGCACCAAACTCATAATGCATATGTTGTTGCATGTAATCTGAATTAGTTCCTAAGAACTTGAAGTCTTGTCCAAAGATATATGGAAGTCAAAAGGTGTTCTTTCTTCTCATGTGAAGTCAAAAGTGTTCCTTTCTCCTCATGTTCAACTTTGCAGCAACTAGATCATGCAACACAGTCTCCAAGCAGGTAACCTAAAAGTTACAAAAGGGCAGATCGTGTTCCTTATTCAGTGGTTGATCACCAGTTACAGGAGAGAAAAAAATGGAAGCATCAGGAACGAATTCTATGTAAAAGTATGATCTTCAGCTAGATTCTTGTTGTTGTATGAAATCTAGAAGGAATCTGAAAGAAATAATGAATGTTTTTGTCTTTCAATCTCATCTGATCATTGAAGCTGTAAGCATTTGGCTGTGGATTCTTCCATCAAAAACTGCTTTTTTTGGTGCCTACTACAATTCTATGACAAAGTTGAGGAGAGCAAGACTTGCATCTTCTATCACCTTTCGTTTTCTTCAGTAGATTACAATGGCAACAACCATGGCTGACAAAGCTTCAACAGGATCATGAAGAGTCTTGCCAAATTCTTCTTTTTGTGCCATCAGTCAAAATGCTAACTTTATGTGCAGTAAAGCACTTGGATGACACACCCAACTTCACCTGCTACACTTTGTAAGATAGCATAATTGTGCCCTACAAACCTCAAGCTGAAGGCAGAAAAGATGCTGTAGTGCATGCATGTAACCATAGCATGCACAAGAGCTGGGTTTCTAGAACTTCTATCTATTAAACTGTTGCAGATTAAGGCAACTACTCACACCTAAATAATCTAAATAAACCATTTTCTTTGTTAGCCATTGAATTAACAGAAACAAGAGCAAAGGTGTTTGCATTTTCTGATGAAAATGAACTGAGTGCATTAGAATCATTGACACATGGATTTGTAAGAAGCATATCAGATCAAGTTTTGTTAGTTTCATGAAATTTCAGGTGGATATATCTGAGATCTGATCTAATGAATGGAAGTGTTCCATAATGTGCAAAGATCTTTGCACAGCACCAGTAGACCACATAAAAGAATGACTTCCACCACAGCTTCACATCAAGATTTGACATCTTGAAGCTGCCAATCTGATATTTTGGTGTCATTTTTTGTATTTTAAAGATACTTACTAATTGCTAATGTTAGAAATACTCAATAAAAAACATTAGAAGAACAGGAAAGGAATAGTTTTTGGTTTCCTCAAGTTGGAAGAGGAATCAAAATCCACTGCTGTTATTGAATCAAAGCAGACCTCAGAAGAACATATGCCACCTTTTTAAAGGAAATTTTTTGATTCATGAATAGTCATACAAATTTTGTCCTTTTTCTTATCTGCTTCATTGCTACTGATTTCGCCATACTTCAATGATTTCTCACCAACTTCTCTTCCATGAGTTTCCTCCATAACTCTCTGCAAGCTTCTCTTCCCTCTCTATAAACTAGCATGGCGTGGTGACCTCCCTCCTCACTAGCACAAAGCCCTGTACGCTTCTTCCGGATTCTGTTGATCTCTCCTCCTCACGCTGAAGAAAGGATGCCGAGTGACCTCTCCACCCTCGCCGGCAGCGGCCAGACCGTGTGCGTCACCGGTGCCGGAGGCTTCATCGCCTCCTGGCTTGTGAAGCTCCTCCTCGCGAGAGGCTACACCGTCCGAGGCACCGTCAGGAACCCCGGTCCGTGCTTCTTCTCTCACACTTGTCTCTTCTGCATCACGTACGTGGAAAGTTTCATTTTCTCTGATCGATTGTTATATGTAGATGATCCAAAGAATGCTCATCTGAGGGCGCTCGAGGGAGCAAAAGAGCGGCTGGCGCTCGTCAAAGCCGATCTGCTCGATTCCGATGGCCTGCACGTCGCGATCAACGGTTGCGATGGCGTGTTCCACACCGCGTCTCCCGTGACGGACGAAGCCGTGAGTTGTCCTCCCCCATTGTGTCGAATGAGAGAGCATTTCTTCATCCATGTGGTGGGTGAATCCTCTGCATGCAGGAGCAAATGATAGAGCCGGCGATAAAGGGCACGTGGAACGTGATGAATGCCGCAGCCGACGCCGCAGTTCGACGTGTGGTGTTCACCTCCTCGATCGGCGCCGTCTACATGAACCCTAACCGCGGGCTCGATGCCGCCGTCGACGAGTCATGCTGGAGCGACCTCGACTACTGCAAGGTCACCGAGGTGCACCACCAGCTCATACCTGCGATGTGGAATGACCTAAGCATTAATCTTCTATCATCGACTACATGGTGGTGGCGGTGGATGCAGAACTGGTACTGCTACGCGAAGACGGTGGCGGAACAAGTCGCATGGAAGGTGGCGGGGGAGAGGCGGCTGGACCTGGTGGTGGTGAACCCGGTGCTGACGCTGGGGCCGCTGCTGCAGCCGACTCTCAACGCCAGCACAGCCCATGTGCTCAAGTACTTGACGGGGTCAGCGGCGACGTACGTGAACGCGGCGCAGGCGTACGTCGACGTGAGGGACGCCGCCGAGGCCCATATAAGGGTGTACGAGGCGCCGGAGGCGGAGGGCCGGTACATCTGCGCGGAGAGCACGCTGCACAGGGGAGAGGTGGTCCGGATACTCGCCAAGCTCTTCCCGGAGTACCCCATTCCCACGAGGTAACTCTCCTCCGACCTACCATCGTCCTTCTCGGTCTTGGTAAGCATGCCCACCTCGTTTTGGTTGATGAGCTACCTCTGGAGATGGTTGCATGCAGGTGCAAGGACGAGGTGAATCCCCCAAAGAAGGGCTACAGATTCACGAACAAGAAGCTCAAGGACCTGGGAATCCAGTTCATTCCTGTGACGCAGTGCCTCTTGGAGACTGTCAAGAGCCTGCAAGAGAAAGCCCTTCTCCCCATCGTCTCCTGTATCTCCCACAACTGA